AATGTGGCGGTTCCGGAAACATAATATCGGTGAATCCATTCACCTTCAGCTAAAATGTGGCTTGTGCTTTATGTAACTACGCATGAAATGCTTTTGAACAACGCGGCCTGATGGATAACTGATTCCCCCCCCCCCCCCCGCGTCGATAAAATAGGTAATTAAATAAACTTGAATAATGCGTATAAGTGGAGCTGCATAGAAAGATGAAAGAAGAAATTAAAAGAGGAGTTTCATAGATGAGATAAGGTGTCCAGGTCCCTAGCCAGGAAACATTGCATGGACTGGAGCTTACATGACTTTAAATATCTTCAGTAGTTTTCCAGTGCAAGTCGGAACGGTCTTTACCTGATGTGAGTTATGATTATTTAAAGCAAATTATCTCTCTATTTTGAGGGCCTTTTCCGTAACAAACATAACTCTTTCATTTCTCTTCTGGAAAACGACAAGGACACTTGAGCGTATATTTACTTAACGAAACGTGATGAGGGGTGTGTAGTTTTGAAGGAACTTCAGAGATTAACCTTATTTATAAAGCCTTTATTTGCTCACAATCATGTGATTACCTATAGCTACAGTCATCTGAACTTTATCAAACCCATCCTTACGCTCACTCCACAACCAGTGAGAAGATCAATCAAGCCGTTTAGTCTCTGTACTGAAAACATTAACAACAACCTCTTTATATTAACGGAAACAACGCTTTAAATATTGGCTTTCATTCTAGCTAGTTCGTTTGAATAGATTACTGTGAAATATAAATATAGAGTGTTTTGTATATTTGTTTCAGTTCTATATAAAGAGCTGACGTTTAATAGAGACATGAAAACATAGTCCATCAACTAGTGAATCACGCAATTTTGCCAGAAGCTATAAAAAGGTTTTGAAGTGTATTTGGAAATGTCTATTACTTGTTGTTAGTGATTAACGTTTTGTTGTAGTCATTAACGATACGTGCTCTTTGTAATTAACTCGGGTGGGTTGCTTAATGATCTTTAATTGATCTATAATGAATAATTTATTTATAAAGAATAGATTAAAGAAAAGAGCGACAGATAACACAACTAAAATACACGCAATACAAGACATAATGTATAGAAATAATCACAGAAATGATCAGCATATGACCGAGTTTTACTGCACTGAACGAAGAATGATCTCGAGCATGATAACATGGCCCTGAGTCCGAAATTATAAGGATAAGGAATGGGACTTGATGTCAAATAGAAATCCATTCATGATTCAAAATGACTTAATCTCTCGTGAAATTATTTTGTTTCAAAATGATTCATCGAATATTTGACATTCACTTAGCATATAGTTATACAGCTACGTTTTAACGTAAAGGACAAAGTCCTACTAGTAGGCCATTTCCTAACGAACAGATCAGCCGGATACTAAATCCTATCACGACAAAGATAGCCTGATAACAGATCTACGTTCGCCCGCCCTAAAATTCGTCCTTTCCGTATATTCGCCCTTTCCGTATTCGCCCTTTCGCCTATTCCCTTTACGAATTTTAGGGCGGTGAAACGTAGGTCTGTTATCAGGCTACGACAAAGATGGAACATATACACATATACCCAGAGTTTACTCAAGGAAATCACAAATCAGATAAGAATAAAAAATTCACTGATAAAAAAATAGTCCATGACAGGGTCTTCCGATTCATCAGCCTTGTCAACTACAAGATCTACAACGGAAGCCACGCCTCCCCCCCCCCCTCCCTCGCGAAACACCTGCTGCGAAAAAGAATGCATCGTACTATTCGAGGGTTATGCCCCCAAAAAAGTACCACTCATTATCATTCAAACATGTTTTAATTGGCTGTAAAAAGTGTCTATAGCGAGCTTAAGCAAGCGAGGTTTTTCTCAACACGAACGTCAGATTGCCGGGGGGGGGGG